GCAATAAGGCCGGCGATGCTGTATGGCACAGAATGTTGGGCGGTGAAGCATCAACACGTACACAAAATGGGTGTAGCGGAGATAAGGATGCTTCGTTGGATGTGTGGGCACACGAGAAAGGATAAGATTAGGAATGAGGATATCCGGTGTAAAGTAGGAGTAGCCGAAATTGAAGGAAAGATGAGAGAAAATCGGTTACGGTGGTTTGGACATGTGCAAAGAAGGCCTACTGACGCTCCGATTAGAAGATGCGACTATATGACAGAGGTTCAGGGCCGAAGGGGTAGAGGAAGACCTAGGAAAACTTTGGAAGATACCCTAAGAAAAGACTTAGAGTACTTGGATCTAACGGAGGATATGACACAGGACAAAACACAATGGCGTTCTAAGATTCATATAGCCGATCCCACTCAGTGACTTGGATTTTCCAAGTCTCCAACCGAGAAGTTTTCCTCACTCGGGAAATTAAGGGAACACTACCTCAACCTGCATGCTTCACTCACAAAGCTTCAACATACAAGCTTCAACAAAAGAAAATTCAAAGAACTTAGCGAAGAAGGCTTTGGTGTATTTAACACAATACGTTGAAATAAAGGAAAGCTTATTTATTGATATCCCCGATAAGTTACAAATATGTACATATACTTGAGTCAAAATAAACAAACAAGAGGGAGCCTTCACAAAGGTTGCTTAGGAGAAGTCTCAGTAGTCGGTAGAGCCCCAGAAAGAGAAGGCACCAGAGGGGGATCATTCGGAGCCTCAGTACTGGACAAAACCCTAGAAGGAGGAGGCATCAGAGGTTGATCATTTGGAGCTTCATTACGCGGTACAGCCCCAGAAGACGAAGGCAATAAATGCCTTTGGAACAAACCCACCCACAAATCTCTGATGATCAAGTAAAACCTGACCATCAGATTCCTTCATCTGGTCAAGCTTCCTCTTCATGTTTGTAGCATAGTCATGTGCGAGCCGGTGCAACTGTTTATTCTCATGCTTGAGCCCTCTAATCTCCTGTTTGAGACTCATCACTTCAGCCGCCAATGATTCAACTTGGCGGGTTCGAGCAAATAGGCGTTGGGCCATATTAGACACAGAACCTGCACACTGAACACTGAGAGCCAAAGAATCCTTAACAGCCAACTCATCAGACCGTTTGGAAAGTAGTCTGTTATCTTTGGGAGTGAGAAGGTTTCTGGCCACTACCGCAGCGGTCATATCATTCTTCATCACGGAATCCCCAACGGTAAGAGGACCAGTAGGGGAGACGAATGATGGGCGCCATATGTTGTCTGGAGAAGGCGGGGCTGCCTCTTCAACAAGGTTCAAGTCAAAACGACGGTCGGAGGGGCCAGACATTTTCAAAGGTGTTGAAGAGAGAAGAGGTCGGACAAATCAAGATCTTAGAAGTACAAGAATGGAGCTTCTACTGGTGGATATTCAAGTGTGCTTTGGAACTTAATGTCAGCCCCTATAAAAATCTGCACTCGACGAAGCTTCAGAAATCGAAGAGGCGCCTGCTCAGAAATCGAAGCGGCGTTTACTTTCTCAAAAGCTGGGCTGCTCAGAGACCACGAGGGTCGATCTCAGAAATCGAAGAGGCGTTTGCTTTCTCAAAAGCTGGGCTGCTCAAAGACCACGAAGGCCGATATCAGAAATCGAAGAGGCTTGCTTTCTCAAAAGCTGGGCTGCTAAGAAACCACAAAGGCCGATCTCAGAAATCGAAGAGGCACCTACTTTTCCAGCCTTGTCAGCACCTGTCACACGCACACTCAGCTTTGCGGAAATTATGGGCATTCTGTCGAAGATTTCTGGCGAAGTAGAAAGCACATGAATCGTATTGTTCAATCACCCACTTCCCATACGCAACAGTAACTCATGGGTACCACAGATAACTTTGCCAAAGTTCTCTGACAGTTGAGACACGTGAAGCTTGCAGCTCCCGCTACATCGCTCTGACCAAGAAGGGTAAAAGAATTGCAAAGAAACAACACTAACAAAGTTTAGACATATAAATTTTGAAGGTCTAGCTACCATATTATTACCCACAAGGGTAAAGGAACAGTACCACTGCTGGATAATTGGAAAGTCCCGGTGTGTCAACCTCTGTGCTTCGTGGCAAGGTAGACTAGCAAACATGCCAACCTTTACTCACATTCAAGAAAACACTCCCAACAGGATTGCTTGCTCCAAAATCGAAGAGGCACCGCCCTCCGAATCTCGAGAGCCAGACTCCCAACATGATTACTTTCTCAAAAATCGAAAAGAGGGTAAAGGAACAGTACCACTGCTGGATAAATGGAAAGTCCCTGTGTGTCAACCTTTATGCTTCGTGGCAAGGTAGACTAGCAAACATGCCCAACCTTTACTCACATTCGAGAAAACATTCCCAACAAGATTGCTTGCTCCAAAATCGAAGAGGCACCGCCCTCCGAATCTCGAGAGCCAGACTCCCAACATGATTACTTTCTCAAAAATCGAAGAGAGGGTAAATGAACAGTACCACTGCTGGATAATTGGAAAGTCCCTGTGTGTCAACCTCTGTGCTTCGTGGCAAGGTAGACTAGCAAACATGCCCAACCTTTACTCACATTCGAGAAAACACTCATAACAAGATTGCTTGCTCCAAAATCGAAGAGGCACCGCCCTCCGAATCTCGAGAGCCAGACTCCCAACATGATTACTTTCTCAAAAATCGAAGAGACACTGCTCTCCGAATCTCGAGAGCCAGACCCCCAGCATGATCGCTTTCTCAAAAATTGAAGAGGCATCGTTCTCCGAATCTCGAGAGCCAGATCCCCGACAGGATTGCTTGTTCGAAAACCGAAGAGGCACCACTTTCCCAACTTCAAGAGCTGGATCTCCTTGGATAAAGCTTGTCTGTAATCTTCACACGCAACATCATCTTTCCAGATACCACAGACCACCTTTTCAAAGTGCTCTGACAGAGTTAAAACATGTGAGGCTGGTAGCTCCCACTACCGTGTTATGACCAAGCAGGGTAAAGGAATAACATTATTACTTTATGTTAGGGAGACTCCTATATATGTCGACCTCCATCCCTAACGGACAGGCAGACCTGCAAAAATACTCAACCCTTTCTCTTATCTAATAGGGCACTCCCAACGAAGCCTTTCGAAATATTCAGCTTTCTTTCCCCCCGATAATACCTCTGTAAACAAGCTATACTAGAGCAAGACTATCTCATATCATCAGGGTTAAAAGCAATAGTATCCCATATCATGCTTTTTCCCTGTCTTTTCCTTTGGCCTTGTTCTTACCTACAAGACAAGGAGAACGAGAGCAATCAGTCAGCACTTGGAATCAAGCTTCGAGCCAGGAACTGACTGCCTGGAACCCCTTACCTGATTACTTACCTGTCATTGCTCTGGAGTACTCATCTTCAACATCTTATGCTTCCAGGGAAGATACCGCATTTGCCTGAGGAACAGATAGGGCAAGTGAGAAGGATACAAGGAAGCATGTGGAGACAAGCGTAACAGCACACGTGCCGATACATCCACTACTCTGTCAAAAGCAAAAGTATCCCATATCAGCAGGGTCGAACGTACTCTAGATTTGATGGACTTGTTTTGACCCTCAAATTCTTCAATCGGCCTTATACTCTAGAGGAAACCAGAAAACCCTACAGCCCGGTTCAAGAATAAGCCTGTGGAAAGTTACTTCTTTAAAAGCAAAAGTATCCCATATCATCTCTTCTCATTTTTCTTCTCTTTATCCTTCATGCTGCCTGCAAGATAGGGAGAATGTGAACAATCAGCTGGAGCTCTGATTGCTTACCTTGTCTGTCACCTCTTTCAGCAGATCCCTTAGCCCGGCGACTTGGGGGACTTCTACTACATGGTTTGTATCGCGCTTGACCAAGCCTGAAACTACAAGTAAGCTTCAAGTGAAATTGATACATTACCTTGTGCATCTCCACCAGTTACAGATACCACCCCTGGATGGAGGAAGAGTACTTCCAGAGAAGATGCCACATCTACCTATGAGACAGATAAGGCAAGTCAAAACGATACCACACTCCGGTACTTAGAAGTTTCGTGGTTACGAGATCATTCTCCCACAATATTTCCTAATGTCATTTGTACTAAATCATTCACTTGTACTCACTAAAGGAGAGCTTGAACCTATGTACTTGTGTAAACCCTTCATAATTAATGAGAACTCCTCTATTCCGTGGACGTAGCCAATCTGGGTGAACCACGTACATCTTGTGTTTGCTTTCCTAATTCTATCCATTTATATACTTATCCACACTAATGACCGGAGCAATCTAGCGAAGATCACAAAAAGTGACCGTTTTCGCTACCTAGGATCTATCGTGCAAGAGAACGGAAAATTAGATGGAGATCTCAACCATAGAATACAAGCTGGATGGATGAAGTGTAAGGGTGCATCCGGGGTGTTGTGTGACCGTCGTAGGCCACTGAAGCTCAAGGGAAAATATTATAGGACGGCAATAAGGCCAGCAATGTTGTATGGCACAAAATGTTGGGTGGTGAAGCATCAACATGTACACAAAATGGGTGTAACGGAGATGAGGATGCTTCGTGGGATGTATGGGCACACGATAAAGGATAAGATTAGGAATGAGGATATCCGAGGTAAAGTAGGAGTAGCCAAAATTGAAGGAAATATGAGAGAAAATCGATTCCGGTGGTTTGGACATGTGCAAAGAAGGCCTACTGACGCTCCAGTTCGAAAATGTGACTACGGGACAGAGGTTCAGGGCCGAAGGGGTAGAGGAAGACCTAGGAAAACTTTGGAAGAGACCCTAAGAAAAGACTTGAGTACTTGGATCTAACGGAGGACATGACACAAAACCGAGCGCAATGGCGTTCTAGGATTCATATAGCCGACCCCATTTAGTGGGAAAAGGCTTTGTTGTTGTTGTTGTTGTTGTTCGTTTTTCTTTGACAATTTACAAATACAAAATTTGGATGCTGCAGCGGAAGATCATGCTACAAATTCAAACACAAAAATCCAAATTAAACACAAAATTCAACATTCACAATGCAAAAATGCAAACTATACACAAAATCAATGCTTTCAAAGTCGTTTGGCATATTGGCTTATCACAATTGTTTAGTGTAAATTTACCCACATATTATATATGGATAAAATTAAGTAAAAAAATAAATGATAACTAAATCATAGTAGTCTCCGAGTTCCCCAGCAAGCAAACCGTTGATGGGTTCCCTTGAAAGCTTAGTTAGTGAACGGGCCCACCTGCACACTCACTTCAGAAATTTTAACCATTCATTTGAATGAAGACAAACTATCAGTAAAACCCCACCCCGAATCCCTGCGCTCAATTCCATCAGAAGTGCAAAAATCCCATGGTGTGAAATTATTAACCACGATTCATCAAACCGCGGAAAAAATAAAAATCCATAAACTAAAAGCAACCATGCAATAAACCCAGATAAAAACGACGACTAAGGACGCTCAAAAAATCAAACTGGGAAATCATGAGGGCAACGAAGAACTCACCGAAATCGAATCGTATGGAGAGAAAGAACCACCGGGAGATGAGTAAAGCGGAAAGCCAAGAAGGGAGGAAATTGAATTGTAGGTTTCGAATTTTTCGTTCAGGGGAAAGGGGGAGGAAATTGAATTGTACCCAACAAGTTTTACGGAACAAATCTGAAGGAGGAACCGAAAATTAGCCCCCCCATCCCTCCCTTCGTCACTATTTCTCTCTCTGACCATCCCTCAAATCCCCCGATCCCCCTTTAATTTATCTCTCTGTAATCTCCCCTCACATCCCTCACCGAATCTTTCTCTGTGACCATCCATCAAATCCTCCCATCCCTTCCCTTTCTGTCTGTAATTTCCCCCATCACTCCCTTTCTCTCTGTGCAATGGGCATGGGCATGGCTCCAATCGCCCTGTCTGCGAATGTCGCCCCCACCCCTTGAACAAAACCATAGAAGAAAATATCGATAATATCGGCGATATATCGCCGATATTATCGGTTTTTTCCCGAACCGATATTTTAAATGGTATCCAAGGTGTTTTCGTTATAATATCGCGATAATATCGATAATATCGCGATATTATCGATATTATCGCGAAATTTCGGAACTGTGCACGTCGGAGACGAACGCTGGAGCTTCTACAGCTCCGGTCGACTGTAAAACTACCCCCTAGCCTCGCCGGAGATGGGTGTACTTATTCCCGAGTCGATTTCATCCCAAAAACCTTGCAAAAACACGACATATAACTTCAATTTCACATCTACGCTTCGATCTAGAATATAAAAAGAAAAACCCGAAGCTTACCTACCTGAGAAATTGAAGGAACTGGGTCGGGGCGGAGTGGAATTGGAATTTTGAAGAAATGGGTCGGGGCGGAGTGGAATTGGAGGCAATCGGAGATGAACTGGGTCGGGTAGGGGTCCGATTGGGGGGATTTTGGTTGGATTGAATGGTGGAAGGTTGGAATTTGGGGGGTTAGGGTTTGGTGGAGAGGGCGAAGAGGGGGGAGAGAGAGAGAAGCGCCGAGTCCACCTGTTGGATGATGCGGGAAAACAGACGAAGACCAAATGAGAGAGGGAAGGGTTTTCGGGCGTCGACTGCGTGGTTGCTTTTGCCATAACAAATCGGGGTATCCGTCAAATAAATACAAAGATGAGCTCGCACGGGCTAGGTAAACCCAATAAAACTCTAAGCCCAATTAAGTTATTACAACAAAGATGAGCCCAAACAAACAAATTCTTAGGAAACTAGACTTGAGACCAATTTATTAATTAAAAGCGGTCAATGAGATTGTCAGAAAATGTGATACAAATAGTATTGTTTTGTGTTTATATATTAGAACAAGTGATCCAGACAGGTTCATTATATAAGTTATTTAAAAAAGCGGGTGCTGACGTTTTGGGAAGGGTTTTCTCATTAATTTCCCGTTGTTTGTGTAACTCATGTATCTTACCATGCAATGTATAAAGTGTAAAATATTGTACTAAGTCATTATATATAAAGTTTAAACTTCTTTCATTAATTACTACATATTTTCTACACTCACAATGTTTGTCAGCTCGCTATATAATCAACTTAAATAAGTTAAATCCATCATGCAATGCATTTCCTTCCAATTTTTTGTGATAAACTAATAGATAATTGACTAAATAAACATCCTGCAAAATTTCAATAAAAATTTCCAAGTTTTTCTTACAATTTCCGTGGTTTCCATGTAATTTTTATCGATATCGATATTATCCCGATATTTCCATCGATATTTCCGTGTTTTCGGACTACCGATATTTCCGATATTACCGATATTTTCTTCCTTGAACAAAACTACCCTCTTAACTTTTAATAATACCCCCCCCAATTCAGCCACATATATGATGGCAGTGGTGTAAATAAAGTAAAATCAAGGGTCATGTATAGGAGGGCACCTAAACCCTATGCACAAAATTACCCTCCTAACTTTTAACAAATTACCCTCCTAACTTTTAACAAATTACCCTCCAACCCAACCCAAATCTGATAGCTTTGTTGTAAATAACGTGAAATTGAGTAGCATTTGTTTACTGTAGCAATGTACAGACCAATTCCCCTCCAACTTTAGAATTGATAAATTTGTTTAACATATTTATAATTTTGTGTCAACTCCTCCAATCCAAAACCTAATTAGATCAAATATATACGGACATATATTCTACATTTATGTATACTAATACCATAAAAAGTAGGTAAATTAATTTTGTTACAAATTTAAAAAGTAGGCACATTAATTTTTATGTAATTATACAGTAGGTAAATTATTTTCATAAAATTAAACAATAATATTGTTTTCAAAAAATTAATTTTCATAGTAGGTAAATTTTTTCATGTAATTATAGTAGGTAAATTATCTTCATAAAATTAAACAATAGATATTGCTTTCAAAAAATTAATTTTCATAGTAGGTAAACTATTTTCATGTAATTATAGTAGGTAAATTATCTTCATAAAATTAAACAATAGATATTGCTTTCAAAAAATTAATTTTCATAGTAGGTAAACTATTTTCATGTAATTATCCTGTAGGTATAAAATAAAACAATAGATATTGTTTTCATAAAATTAATTTTCATATTAGGTAAATTATTTTCATAAAATTAAACAATAGATATTGTTGAAAATAACACTAAATTTGTTGTTGAAATTAAAAAAAATTCCAAATTAATTCCTCCATCTACAACCATATTTCATGGCTACAAGACATTGCCAAATTCAATGCACGTGATCACTTAAAGCAAAATTACAAGAACTTTCCATACTGACTTAGATGGGGTATATTAGGGATCCAAAAAATATAAAAATGGACACACAAACTTAATTTGGTAAGTTTCTTAGTTGGATCCTAATCATTTGGTTTTATTCGGATAAATATTATATGATGGGCTAGAGACTAGAAAAATGAGTTTGGAGGGAAAAAGTTAAATTTTCAGAAAAAATAATACATATATATATATATATATATATATATTATCAATGTATTGACAGCACTAGAATTTTAAATTTATTTTCTAACGGCTTATACACCTCACTCTTGTTATGCTAATGCATGTAGTCTTGTTCTTTCTTTGTTTTTGTAGGTTTCTTTCAATATATATGGCAACAAATCGGTAAGGGGTCCTCTTTTTGTTTTATTTACAAGTTTTCGATCGAGACAAACTTGATCAACTTCATTTAATTAGTCTATACGCTCAAGTATTTTTGATATTGGGTATCTTTATCGGCACCCAAATTTTAGTTAAGTTCCCCTAACTAAAACATTTTGTCAAACTTCATAGTTTCCCCTCATTTTTAAGTTCGCCCAAATCCACACCAGCCTCCACCTACCAAAAGAAAGAGAAAATGAACAGACAAAACCACTACCGCGCGCTAGACAAAACTACACCATCCTCTGGTCCCTCCCTCATCGACAGCGTCGATGCCAGCTCTTTGTGGGTCTGTGTGTTCATTCTCTTTCTATTGGTGAGTGGTGGGTGTGTGTTGTTGGTTTTTTTGGTGAGTGGTAGTTGCTGCTTTGTGGGTTGGGTGAACTCAATTTCAACGGCAAATTAAAAAGTTTGATGACAAAAATTTTTTAGTTGAGTAAAACTAACTAAAATTTGGGTGTCAATAAAGGCACCCTTTGATTTTATTTATTATTTATTTTTCACTTTATGCACTTTTCAAACTCATAGTCGATTGATTTTGTTGCAGTACGTGGATGGTTTATACTCATATGCATCGGTAAGGACTAAGATGAGATTGTATTATCAACATATGTAGATTTCTCATTCTCTCTCTTTAATTACATCAAAGACAAAGTAATTTGGAAAGAAAGGGAAGAAAAAGTAGTACGCAGTGGATCTAACATATTAATGTCCATGCATGCAGGGTTATTTTTCCTAGCCAGATTTGTTTTTGGAGTTCCAGTTGTGACTGCATTTCTAATCTACACATGGCGCAGAAGACATTTATCAATGTATAACACAATAGAAGATTTTCTGCAATGCAATAACAACTTCATGCCTATAAGGTACTCTTACTCGGACGTCAAGAAAATGACTCGCACGTTTAAGGACAAGTTGGGCGAAGGTGGCTTTGGCTCTGTATTTAAGGGAAAGCTACGCAGTGGTCGATTTGTAGCAGTTAAAGTTTTGGGCAAGCCCAAAGCTGATGGCCAAGATTTCATTAGCGAAATAGCTACAATCGGAAGGATTCACCATGCCAATGTGGTGCAACTTGTTGGATACTGTGTTGAGGGATCAAAACGAGCTCTAGTATATGACTTCATGCCTAATGGTTCTCTTGATAAATACATTTATTCCAAAGAAGGAAGTGTTCCCTTAACTATCAAGAACATGTACGAGATTTCTCTTGGAGTGGCTCAAGGGATCGAATATCTACACCAAGGTTGCGAAATGCAAATTCTACATTTCGACATCAAGCCTCATAACATCCTTCTTGATGAGAACTTTAAAGCAAAGGTTTCTGACTTTGGGCTTGCAAAATTGTATCCTGTAGATAATAGCATTGTCTCTTTGACGGCAGCACGGGGTACACTGGGATACATTGCTCCTGAGTTGTTCTACAAAAATATTGGAGGTGTCTCATACAAGTCAGATGTCTATAGTTTTGGAATGTTGTTGATGGAGATGGCAAGCAGAAGGAAGAATTTGAATCCAACGGTAGAGCATTCAAGCCAAATCTACTTCCCAATATGGGTATACGATCAGTATATTGTGGGAAATGACTTGGAAATGGACAATGTTACAGAGGAGGAAAAGAAAGTAATAAGAAAGATGGTTATAACCGCCTTGTGGTGTATTCAAATGAAACCAAGTGATCGCCCTTCGATGTCCAAAGTTGTCAAAATGCTTGGAGGAGATGTTGAATGTCTGCAAATGCCTCTCAGGCCTTCTCTATGCCCCCTAGAGACGCCTGTGACAGTGGGTGATATTCAAGACAATGAAGTGAACCCAAGATGTTCTAACGCGGAGCTAACGTGTTCATTGTCAGCTAGGTGATAGTCAAATGGTTAAGAAAGTGCAGTAATGTATTATTAATTAAATTCTTGCCTTAAAGTGATTTAGTGAATAACTGTTGTTTGTAATTGTTTGGCTTGGATTCATCTAAGAACGACTTGTGTTGGTGCGTATACATATACATATGTTACTCTAATTCAGCAATTACTTTTAATTGTATGAGGCTTTTAGGGTTGCTTGCATCATCAAGTTTTCTCATCCTCCTAACATCCGAACCACCGTTTTCATGGACCGCCGATCCACCAAGTGCCACTGGCTGCACCAGAGCCCTAAACTTGCAAGTTGCTTTGGAATCTTACCATAACATTCTTCCTCAATATGGATCTGTTGGTCATTCCTTCCTCTAGAAGATTATAAATCCATTTTGGATAGTAGATTTCATTTGTCGTGTCCTCTGGTTGAACCAATATTCTTCTTTTCTCCTACCATTTCAAGCAGCAACATTCAAGACATCTACCTTGTAAGACACATTTCCGAAATTCCTGGAAAACACTTCAGGTGCTTTAGTCACATGGTCCCCCTTGCTTTAGTCACACTGATTGATCCTTGGAACATAACTTGGCCAGACCAAAATCAGAGATTTTTGGCGTGATTTTTTGGTCGAGCAAAGCATTATGGGGTTTGATATCGAAATGGAGGATTTGTAGATCACATCCCTGGTTCCTTTGGCTATGTTGATAGCAATATCTTGCAACTTATGCCAACCAAGGAAAGAAATCTATCTACTGATGACATATAATCCTGAAGTGAACCAAAGGGAAAGAACTCATAAACCAGAGCTCATCTAAATCCATCAGCACAAAAACCAACCAAGTGAACCACATTGACATGGTGAATATGGCCCATTGTTCCCCACTTCATTTACAAGCTCTTCCCCGTCACCCTTGGAAATGTTAAGTACTTTCATGGCAACAAAGCATTCAGAAAAAAGCTTTCCTTTAAAAACAGTTATGTATGCTCCTTGGCCCAACTTGTACTTGAATTGATTTGTAAACCTCTTAATATCTGCATGGGAATATATGATTGGCTTAAGATCTTTGTAGTCCGCTAAAATCTTACCAAATTTCATTCGATTTTCTTTTTACTTTGTCAGTGCTGTAGGCGTGATATGCCGCAATGACCAGCAGTAACAGAACAAATGAACCCAGGGTTGCTCATGCAAATAGATAGATATTATCCATGAGTAAACATTTATTCTCAAGTGTCCTTTGGACATGAAACAAAGCTAAACACCGGTCCTACAAAACTCACCCTTGCAAACGTCTTTGTTTTGCCTGCAAAAGACAGTTGCAAAAATTAGACTGTCATTTCTCAAAATTAATCAATATCTTTACCATAAATATAAGCCGTTAATTACATGAAAGCGAAAAAATCACAGCATGTAGCAAAGTATACAGATCATCATCATTAAAAACATCATAAGCTGAATGGATTCGAAATAAGATTTAGACGCGTTATCGTTACTTGGTTTCCTCCTGTCAACAAGTTCAATTTCGCTCTTGGTGCCATTGTTCTTCAATCTACACCTTTTGCCCTTTGCTTCACATTTGATTCAATTTGGTTTAGACCATTTGAAATCAATGTTTTAATTTCATTTCCCACCCAACCACCAAATGGAACTGATGAAACACCATACGCCTTTGTACAAGACTGCAGGGCAGGAAAGCTTTCAAATAATTGAAAGAACGAAGACACACCATAAATTCTGTTGCCAGGGACACTGAGGCAAGGGGACTTGCTATATATAGAGGGAAGGAGAGAGGGTGGGATAAGTCCATGAAATCCATGGAATCAATGAGGGAGGCTTAAAAAGAGTTGGTTGGATTGTGTGATTAGGTCAGGGGAAATTACTGAGAGAGAAATAGAAAGGGAAGAAGGGGTATTTGGTGGATGGTTACAGATTTTCCGGCCCTAGAAAATTATAGTCTCACAATTGCCTCTAACCATTCATCTGAGGGGCAACCTGTTCCCCTTGAAGATGATTTGTTATCCAAAGAGCTACCCGTTGAACCGTCAGTCGGGAAAGAAGATCTACATGACGACCAGCTTATTCGTCAGTTAAAACACTCACATCTTCGCTCCAAATGTTTGCCCAACGACTGATGTCTTAACCTACGAACTCTAAACATCCTGTAAATCTATTCAGTAAACCAAGTTTGTTGACTGATTTTGCCTTACTAAACTTATATTTTGTCGGTTAAAAAAGGTGAAACCGACGAAATCTTCTGTCGCGCAATAGTTGACAGGGCAAGCCATAAATTCTAGTAGTGCAAGCATAGCATCTGCTTGAATAAGTAGTTCTTAGATGAATCCAAGAACTAAAGGATTTAGTCTTATAATTTTAGATGTATACTAGCAAGTGTACCCGCCCGTTGCTGCGGGGTTTGAAACATTGTTGAAGATGTAGAAAGTTTTGAAAAATATATATGCTAAAGAGTGGTGTTTATATACATATATTACATCCATATGTTTACAAAGTGTTATTTACATTCATACATTACATGACAAAAGTTGGAGATGTTGTTATGCCATCCTCAAAGATTGTTTTCAAAAGCTATGAGTCTATCTCATGGAGTATTTTATGTTTACAACTATACAAAGTTAAAAAAATTCAGTTTTATTCCACTAAAGGCATCCAAAATACGACAATGCTGAACTGAAAATCAAAAGAAGGAATTAAAAACCTAATTTGATCACTCATGAATTGAATAACCCTAAACTGCATACGAATTGAACTAAATGAAAATTTAAAGATGAAGGGAACTTTGTCATAATTTCATTATGCAAGATTTCACTGTGCTAGATTTCATTTTAGGCACCAAAACCAATTCATAAAATTAAAGTTGGGGTTTCCATATTCTCTATTGGGTATCGAAAGTCATGAAAAGCTCGGAAATAACCAATCAAGTGTTCTGTTTTCATCCTGCAAAAACTCAAATTCCAGAAACAACGAAAATGCAAACTTCATATGGAAATTGAAGGTTTACCTGCAGATCAAGTGTTCGGTTTTCATCCTGCAACTTGGTTACCTAAAAAAAAAATAGATCCATTTACAATATAGAAACCAAATTCATATTGAACACTCTATACCTCACATGTATAGACCAAATATGGAAGCCAAAATAGACACTCAAAACTGATACAAAAATACTACATAAATTTTTTTCAACCCTATATGTCTTAAAATAAAATTAAAGGGATCATATTGCATAACAAAAGTATACCACCTGCATCAAGCTTCAGCTCTGTCTCCAATGGATCAATGATGGACTCAACAGATAGCATTTCATCGTCTTTCTATGCAGCGTGAACTCTTCAAAGTGTGACTTCTGCTGCAATATTTTGATATAAAACAAAACCCCCATAATCAGATTAATTAGGGTTTTTTCTTCATAGTTTCATGTACTTCAAAAGATATATGATGTAAATTATACTTGAGTATTATCACTGTATAAAAAATAATAAACGGATATATCACATTTAAGCTTAAGTATGATGATTACCAAAATACTTTAAATGGTTCTTCAAATTATCATTGTTTACATCAAGAAATCATTGAAACATTGTTGAAGATGTAGAAAGTTTTGAAAAATATACATGCTAAAGAGTGTTTATATACATATATTACATCCATATGTTTACGAAGTGCTATTTACATTCATACATTACATGACAAAAGTTGGAGATGTTGTTATGCCATCCTCAAGGATTGTTTTCAAAAGCTATGAGTCTACCTCATGGAGTATTTTATGTTTACAACTATACAAAGTTAAAAAATTCAGTTTTATTCCACTAAAGGCATCCAAATCCATAACTCTGTTACTGGCGCCTTTTTCATTTTGTACGACAATGTTGAACTGTAAATCAAAAGAAGGAATTAAAAACATAATTTGATCACTCATGAATTGAATAACCCTAAATTGCATACCAATTGAATTAAATGAAAATATAAAGATGAAGGGAAATTTGTCATAATTTCATTATGCAAGATTTCACTATGCTAGATTTCATTTTAGGCACCAAAATCAATTCATAAAATTGAAGTTGGGGTTTCCATATTCTTTATTAGGTATCAAAAGTCGTGAAAAGCTCGGAAATAACCAAAGTACACACCTAAGAAAAACATAAGCAATAAACCATTTCCAACTCCTCAAATCATTCATCAAACATAGTAATACAATCATCGAGACACACTCAATCATTTATCCTAAACCTAAATAAGAATAATTAGGTTTAGGATTAATACCCAAACAGTCAAGCCTTCACTTATACTTGTTTTGGTCCTTGCTGCAAAAATGCAGGCCTGTCGTTATGCTCCTCTGGATTTGGCGTCAAAAAGTATTTTTCCTGCCTACCCTCAACATCCTAATACATAGATAATGCAGCTTGGTTAACAACTCTCCTCCTCTGCTTCTTCAAAGCTCAAAACTTTCACACTCAATGGATCAAATAAGCCTTGTTTTTAATACCCTTTTGGAGTTTGATCTTTAAGTCAGTTAAATTTTTTATTTATTTTGTCTGAATTGAATTTGTGGGTTTTGTCTCCCAATCTCAAAAGCTTATAGTTTTATATATTAACAATCCACACAAAAATAAATATCACTCGTATTGTGGAGCCAAAAATAATCACAAGGTGACACGTGGTTTTTTGGGTAAAAGATGACAAAAATACCCTTGAGGTATAACGGGATTCCTATGCGCAAGTAGCGGGCAATCATCCTTAACCAAGTCAAAAATGCTCCAAAAAGGTAACCAATTCCAAATTATCTCATCCATCCTCATTTAAGGTAATTCCCAAAACCTAATTTATTCCATTTAGCTAATCAATTAGCTAAATAATATATTCCTTTCATATTTCCTAAAATCTTCCTTTAAAATCATAATAATTGACTAATTAAGGGATTAATTGCCTAATCAATTCCTTAATTGTCAATTAAAACATCCATGCAACCCCAAAAACAAGTGAAGGGCCGGCCACCTATTGTTAGAAAAGGAATTGGTCATGTTTTGTTTATCTCTTGATATTTGCCCATTTCATCCCATTAATTAGCTAATTCATTTGGTAATAATTTTATTTCGCCAAATTAATTAGGGAACTTTAACGAAAAGCACCCGGTACTGTTCATTTTAACGAAAAACCACATTTTTACACTAAAAAGTCAATCCTGGTACTATTCACTTTACCCTTTATTTTGTCCTTATCATTAAAACTCAAAGTTTTCAAGCCCTTTTTATTAGTTTTCCTAATTAATTAGTCAATTAATCACATAACTCCCAAAATCATCTTAAATCATGAACAAAACCCACAAACTAGGCTATGTGACCGGTCCTTTCTCACCCTAAGAGGCCGGCCACTCCTCTATAGAAAGCCCCACATTTCTCACCAAAACCTAGTTGCAACTCTTGCTAAAATTCTCTAGAATTCTCAAACACTTTTTCTCTCTAAATTCTAACTTTGGCATCGGAGGTTCTTCGACCAAAGCCCCCCCCTTCATCGTGAGCGCGTGAGGCTCTTGGCCTTGACCTAAGGTGTTAATTGTTTTGTAGGTGCAATTTTGTCCAAGATCAAGGAGGAAGAAATTTGCATCCACACTTATGATAAAAATTTTCTAATCCCCATAAATAAACAACTCAATATCTTCTTCCAATCCCAATTCTTCCATCATCTAATTGCCATTAATAATCCCATATGTGAAATCGTAATCTATGTGATAGAATTGAGAAATAATAAAAACTCAAATTCCAGAAACAACGAACATGCAAACTTCATATGGAAATTGAAGGTTTACCTACAGATCAAGTGTTCTGCTGTCATCCTGCAACTTGGTTATCTTAAAAAAAAAAAGATCCATTAACAATATAGAAACCAAATACATATTGAACGCTATACCTCTCACATGTACAGACGAAATATGGAAGCCAAAATAGACACTCAAAACTGATACAAAAATACTACATAAATTTTTGTATCAGTTTTAAAATAAAATTAAAGGGGTCATATTGCATAACAAATGTATAACTCCTGCAGCAAGCTTCAGCTCTGTCTCCAATGGAGCAATGATAGACTCAACAGGTAGCATTTAAGAATCTTTCTGTGCAGCATGAACTCTTCAAAGTGCGACTTCTGCTGCAATATATTGATATAAAATAAAACCCCCATAATCAGATTAATTCGGGTTTGACAACCAAGCAGAGGTCGAATCAATTTTGTTGACGATCGTAGCAAGAACCTTGGGAGTAAGAGAACTCGTAATCCAAGATAGGATCATCTAGTCAGTCTGGATCCATTCATTATATAATGGATTGACTTTGTCTGTGAATTTACCATTGTCATCAAGAACAAAGGCAGATGGGCATTGAGTTTCGCCAGTAACATAAGAGAGTAAGTTGCGGCTGCGCAGCAAGGGAAGAAATTGAGCACGCCAGAGAGGGTAGTTGTTGAGGTCGAGCTTGATCGTAAGAAAATTTGTGACGGAGGGAGCATCGGAGGAGGAAGAAGATGCCATAGTTTAGGATCTACAAAAGAGAAAAAAATTATAACAGGAACCGTTGTCGTTAGACCTTGGCTCGTGATACCATGAAAGATAGTAAATATGATTTGCAGAATCTCAACTCCTAATTAGAGTGAGCGGTTTTCATTGATATTTATAGGAGTACTATACAAACACACGCAGAACTAGGATTACAATCTAAACAGGAAGTGGACTAAATAGAAGTTAAGTAAGGATGAAACTTGTTCTGCAGTAGGCATGTCGTCTGAGGATTCCATGTTGGAATGTGATTGTGATTGTGATTGTGATTGTGATTGTGATTGTGTCGAGGGATCAAAGCGCGCTCTAATATATGACTTTATGCCTAATGGCTCTTTTGATAAATACATTTATTCCAAAGAAGGAAGTCTTCCCTTAACTATCAAGACTATGTACAAGATTTCTCTTGGAGTCATGGGATCGAATATCTAGATCAAGGTTGTAAAATGAAAATTCTACATTTTGACATCAAGCCTCATAACATCCCTCTTGATGAGAACTTTAAAGCAAAGGTTTCTGACTTTGGGCTTGCAAAATTGTATCCAGTAGATAATAGCATTGTCTCTTTGACGACAGCACGGGGTACAATGAGATATATTGCTCCTGAGTTGTTCTACAAAAATATTGGAGGTGTCTCATACAAGGCCGATGTCTATAGTTTTGGAATGTTGTTGATGGAAATGGCAAGCATAAGGAAGAATTTGAATGCAACGGTAGAGCATCCAAGCCAAATCTACTTCCCGCTGTAGGTATACGATCAGTATTTTGTGGGAAATGACTTGGAAATAGACAATGTTACAGAGAAGGAAAAGAAAGTGATAAGAAAGGTGGTTATAACCGCCTTGTGGTGTATTCAAATGAAACCAAGTGATCGCCCTTCGATGTCCAAAGTTGTCGAAATGCTTGGAGGAGATGTTGAATGTCTGCAAATGCCTCTCAGGCCTTCTGTATGCCCCCAAGAGACGGCTGTGACTGGGGGTAATATTCAAGACAATGGATTGAACCCAATATGTTCTAACGCATAGCTAACATGTTCATTGTCAGCTAGGTGATAGTCAAATTGTTAAGAAAGTGCAGTAATGTATTATTAATTAAATTCTTACTTTAAAGTGATTTTGTGAATAACTATCGTCTGTAATTGTTTGGCTTGGATTTATCTAAGAAGGACTTGTGTTGGTGCGTATAACATATACATTACTTTAGTCTAAAGAAGATGGAGAAATTGTACTGTACAAATGACAGTGTTTTGATCTGGATTTCATTCTATTTATGGCCATGCCATTACCTTAAAAAAAAAAGGGCCATTGCCCTTCGATTTCACTTTATTTACAATAATGCCTCTCTCTGCCGCTTCTGTTGATGCACACGTGTTGATAATCATGGAATGGGAAGGACACATACCCCGCGCGAAGACAATGCCTCATCAAACCCTACTTTCCTCGTCCGTCTTGCAAACCCCCCGCGAGAACGATACAGACGATCTCGCATCCATTGTATCCCTCATCTTGCCGCCGTCTCCTTTCTCTCGCTGATTGTTAGGCCAGTTCGGTCTGCAAGGACCACAATGAGCGGAGCTCCTTTGAAGTTCGAAAGCCCGATCCGAGATGCAATTTCCAGAGTCAGGTTCGCCCTGAAATCCGACAATGTCCTCATCTCATCTCGTGACCTGTAACTGTTACTCCACTTTGGTTCTCAGCAATTTGGAGTTTGTAGCACTTTTGGCTTTTCAATCGTAAAAATTGATTCTTTAAATTCATTTTGCAGATTTTAAGATTGTACGACCCAGAAGCGACGGGCGGACCAAATGGATCCATGGATGGATGAAACTCTGAAGAAGACTCATGTCAGCCGCCAAGCTACCCGAAAAGTAAGGCTTCAAATTTGCGTTGTCTTGCATATCTGTGTGTGATTTTGATTTCTTTGGTTCTGGATGGATTTTGATTTCTTTGATTCTGGGTGGATTTTGATTTCTTTGATTTATGGGTTGGGCTAATTTATGTGCTTATTTATTTCTCTATGCAGATTTTGAAATCTTGGGTGAGTTTTTCAATGACTTGCACACCTCGATTCGGTTGTTGCGGTTGAGGGGATTGAAGTCCAGTTTCAGCAACATTTACTCCCAAATCGAGTGTTTAACGGATAGGTATTTTCTTTTGCTTGGTTGCTGAGAAAATGAAGGGCTTTTATGTAAATTGATCGTTTTTATCTAGATTTTTTTGTATTAATTGGACGATAGTGATCCTGACATGGTAGATCCTCTTCTTGATGTTGCATGTTCCTCAGTTTGAATTGATTGAATGGCGAATGACTGAAATATATTGTCCCATCACCGCGGAAAATGAGCTGTCCATTGTGAGCATAGTCCATGGAGGTAATCTCACTGTCAAACATTTTATGAATGACTCTCCCAGTGCTAAAATTGAAAACCTAAAATATAGATGTAGAAGTTCCACCAATCAAATACAATTGATAATATCCTTGCAACCCTCCCTATAACATTATTGGAATAAAAAATTTAAAAAAAAAAATTAGCTCCCTCATGCTTCAGAAAAAATATAAACTAAAATCAAAGTAGCAATAAAAAAAATTTGTGTGGGGATTTCTAATGAGATGTTGCATTGTGATTGTAATGCAATGCATGCGAGAAATGGCGTATTGTTCATCTTATCAAGAGCAGTAAGATCTTTAGTTATAAAGTATGAATCCGTATTCATACTAATTTGAGATTCAAGATGTTTTTTAGATTAAAAGAAAGAGTTATAAAGGAAATATGGCTGCGGGACCATTGGACCAGAGGGCCACATACTCTAACAATATATGATGAATAGTACTCATTGTTCTCTATTTTGTTGTCTAATTCTTCTCTTTAAGGTATAATACGAAAATCTTATTTCAAAATTGTGTTTTTTTCCTTCAGAGAAAATTTGGACTATAAGAGCTCAGTGCAAAGCTTCCTGTAAGCATGGGAAAAAACCAAGGCACAGTTCCACGCGAGGTAGTTCAATCTTTCATTTTCGTCTGATGAGTACTTGCCCTCCAAGTATTAGATTTCTTGCAATTTTACTTTTACAATGCTCTTATAGTTTGCCATTTTGTTTTGAGATGCTTTTAATTCTTGTTACAAAGCGGAGCTGTAGTTCATGTGTGTGAATTTTTGTTTCAGTGTGTTTGGGGTTCAGAAGTGAATGCATTACTCAGGGATGGCTGTCAGCCTATCCCACATATCTTTTACGTTTTCACTTTATTCATGTGCTGAATTATGGTGTCTCTCTAAATTGAAGAACTAAAAATGGCAAGCAAACTAAAAAGCAATTAGATTATGAAATGGGTACTTTGGTTTCTCATCACTGCTTTGTTTGGTATTTTCATTTATTCATGTTCTTTTGACAGCGTATTCAATTGTATTTTTGGTTTTCCCTGCTTCGTTTATTTTATGCTTGCGTGTTCTTTTGTATGCCTGATGTCTTTCTCTACAAGCTATGCATGAAGATTTGTTGTTGTTCTCAGCCAAGAGATAATTTCACGGATTATGTTTTTAAAGTCATACAAAATACTTCTTGAGGATAACTGGGTTTGTCGGGATCTGTTTTCACTACAAATAGGATGTATCTTTTATATAAAAGAAGAGAATGGCGAGTTGCCAAAATTTCATTCTTCATCTTGATTTATTTCATGATGCTTTTTCTTTCATTTTATTTGATTCTTTCATTAGCTTTGCTAATTGCTACCACTAAATTTGAAAGTGAACATCAATTACATGCCAAATGGACTTTAGAGATCAAGTATGGAGTTGAATGAGAGGAGAAGTCGTCACTTTCTCTCAGGTCTCTCTGGACAAGGTTTTCCTTATTTTTTTGTAATTGTTTTTTTTAGTTTAATGAGATGGAATTAAATAGTTAAGTTACCATACTAATGAATGTACTTTATTGAATTTTTCGTAATAAAAATGTGACAAAATGAACACCTTCTTTTTGTGTTTTTAATTTTTCTCACCTCTCCGAATTCAGTCCCACGCTGCCGTGTCCAGCTCGCCCGGTTACCGTAACCGACACAAACAGTGCAAGTGCCATAGACCCGCTCACATACACTCAGGAAATCACAACCACACGAAAAGCAGCTTCCTTTTTTTGGTGGTCGAAGAAAGCTGCTCCCTTTAAAAGCCAGAAAAATCAAAACGACTGCATTTTCTCTCTCTTCTCATCACCATCACTTTTTGCGTCTAATTGGAGTAAGTGTTCATGATGCAGCTACTTTGTATCTTCAATTTTTTTCCCTGCATGTTTATTTACGTTCTCAGCTTTTACACTACAACCATTACATTTGTTATTTTGTTTTCTCTCTTTTTTTCTTTTGGTTTTGAATAATAAAGTCATCATCTTGCTTCCCCACTAACATTTGGCACGAGTAGGAATGGTTTAGGTGTGCTCAGTTTTGGCCTAAATGGTTATCGAACGAGCCTAAATGTTTGTTTCAATTCTCTACCCCTGCTGTTGGTGGATTTCAAGTTATTTACAAAATTGCCAACTTTCGGTGAGGGTTTCAGGGATGGGAGGCCATGCCGCTCTGGGATAAAGATAGACAGACAGAGGGAGAGGGAGACAGAGCGACAGAGAGAAAGGGAGAGGGAGGAGTGGGGATCTCAGTACCATTGCGACAGATCCTCGATTTCATGAGTGGGAGAGGGGGTACAGTCAGAGAAAAGTATGGGGGCCGTCGGGATTTGAGGGGGAAGGGTATGGATCGGGGCCGGGGATCTGGGTTTGTCCCTTTGGGCTGTTTGCGACCTCTCTTAGCGACTTACTCCGGCTTCCGATGATGGAAACACTAAATCATTCACTCCTCAAGTATGTTACTTTTCAGTCATTGTTCGATTAGTTCCAGTTCTCATTCTAATCTCTGTAAAGTTTGCTTTGCTCTGTTTAGGGTTTGAAGAGGAGAGAGAAAGTTATGCCTCATTACTTTATGTAGAAAATTACTTTATACATATGCAATTTACATGTCTTGAAGTAACTGCAGTATCCTTTGCTTCATAGACAATTTCTGAAATTCCTTTTCTTTTTCTCTCCTAATTTCAGTCAATGATGCTGACAGAAGATTACGGAGTTGAGTACCAGGATGAGGAGACTAGGAATGAGTTTTGGCTCTTAATAATTGCTGCTTTGTTGCTTGGAATTGTCAGTGCTTTCAGTTCGACTTCAACAATACTATATGTGCATCTTAAAGTTATAGGAATATAATTTACGTTTCAGAATTTAATTTATTTAAGTGTTTTGCTAAAACACAAACACTGAGACTTGGTGGTGGCCTGCACTTTGCAGCCACAACTAAGACCAAGGGGTTGATTTTTATTTTCCTTTCCTTACCAATTGGATAAAAGTGCAACCCACCAGATAAGTAGTTAATTAGTTATACTACTAAAGTTACATAATGCCACTTAGCAGCTGGAAATTAACGAACTAGATTTCTTAACATATTTTTACATTCCATGTTTTTTTTTGTATGACAACTTTTTAGGTGCTGCAGTTTTGTTCTGGTTTTTCATTCTTTCTGTGAATTTCAATTGTAGTAGGATTGAATCATTTAAATTGTGGGATTGTTTTGTTTGATGGGTTTCAATTGTGTTTTCATTTATATAGTACTAATGGATTTACTGTGTTGGCAATTTCAAGAATTTGAATCGTTGGAGGGGGAAGTTGGTTCCTAGGCATTTTGAGGTATATAATTATATACCCTATTTTTATTCAAAGCCTATTTTAAATGTATGATTGGTTTGTAAGAAATGAATGAAAAAGAGAGTTAGAATACCCTATTTTGGATTTCGAAAAACAAAGTTAGAAATGTATAAGGATGTGCATTTTATTTACCCTGTTTTGGATCAGAGTGTGTTATTTGAAAAAGAGAGTTAGAGATGTATGATCAGTGTCTGTGTGTGTGTGTGAGTTGTTCATTGAGGTGGTTTTTGCCACTAGACTTGCATTATTGTTCAGGACTGACAACTGTGATAGTAGAATTATGTAATTATGCATGAAGCGGAGAATAATGGAGAAAGATGGCTTTCTATAGTGCTGCCAATGGCAATTAATTTCTCATGAAAACAAAGAAAAGAGAAACAGAGGTATAATAGTATATTATTTTTTATAGTTACAAATATTATGATAGCATGCTTGAAGAATCAATGTTTTAAAAGGCTCACCTCAGGGTGCGCCTAGGCACCCTGTGAGGCTGGACTTGAGGGTTGCCGCCTTTGTTTTGAGGGAGTGGGCGGAAGGCGCCGGAAGGCGTTGTCGGAGCCGTCTAGGCGCGCCTCATGCAATTTTTTTTTTTTTTTTTATTTTTACTCCCAAACCCAGATTTTGGGTAGGGTTTTAACTACCTCATACCTATTCCTTGCACTATATTGTGTGCTGTCTGCATGCATTGTTATATGTGTGCTCATTGTGCTTTTCATCCTCTATTTTATATATATATATATAACATAATATATGTATATATATGTATATATATGTGTATATATGTATTTATAATATATATGTGTGCTCAGGGTGATTATTGATTAATAATTTTTTTTAATATAATATATGTGTACGCTCAGTGTATATATTAAAAAATTTAGGTCCCGTAAGGCGTGAGGCGTGGGCTATCCCTCGGACGCCTCGCCCACGCCTCGCGCTTTTAATACATTGTGAAGAATACACACAAAAATATCTAAAAACACCTCAAGTCACTCTCTTTTTTTCCTACAACCTAAATAATGATAACATGCTTGAAGAATACACACAAAAATAGATATTTTGTCTTGTAAAACTGAAAGTTTGAAAAATCACTCACCGAATGTCCCAAGATATAATCCTTATTTCTAGCAACCCTTCCAATCCTAACTTGCCATCTTGGAATGATTAGATAACCAAAAACAACATGGTCTGACAGTTAAAATGGTCAGCTAAATTATATGTTAAAAAATGCTTACCCAAGTAAACTGAAGATTCATCATTTGATTGTAATTCCCAAGCCAATCAAGGAAAAACCAAAAATTAAATAATAAAATCAGCATACAGTAAGGAAAATAGTCAGAACAAAAGCAGAATTTGACTGGGAAAAAAAAATGCACATTTCTTCTAATTAAACAAAAGCAGAATGGGGGTAAGGCTAGCCGACATTCACCTCTCCCAGACCTTGCGTAAAGCGGGAGCCTTGTGCACTGGGTACGACCTTTTACTGTTTTTCTTCACAAACCTTGCCTTCTCTTCCTGCTCTGGCCTTCTTTCAACTATTGTCCCACAGATGCACTTCGTATTGACCGGTCCTTCAGTGCCTGACCAACTACAACCAAATGCAAGTACTTTCATCATTCTTCCAATTCCTTTTTACATTCAACCAAACAAACAAACACTCTGTACTTGTCCAATCAATCCATTATAACTCCTTTTAAAACAAAACATCGACTTCACAAAAAAATTAAAAATTCGTACCTTTAAATCTGCTCCAGCACAGAACATCTTGGGAACTTTACTGTTTTTGACTTACATTGTGATCTGTAGCTTTTCCAACCCCAACAGAGGCAACTGGGAAGCGAGAGCATAGAGCATGTCCCATGGAAGCTCCTCGACATTTGGTAAAAGATCATCGCCTGCAAAACTGAAAAGAGAACAACAGCAAACAATTTCTCATCCTCCACATCATATTTTGGCATGAAAATTTCAGCGTCTGCAATTGTGACCTTCGCTGTCTGCAAGATTTGAGCTTCACGGGCCTGTTTTGTAAAAGGTGGCAGTATTTTTAGAGGTTCTGTGCATTTGGAAAAGCTGTAGAGGTTAAAACAGAACATTAGTTCATAAATTTTGTGAGAATAGCCCTTCTTTTATTGTGAGAGCATATAATATTTTTTTAAACAAAGTAAACACACTTACACTGATTTGTATGAATTTACTTCCAGAATATCTAGATCAATGAAGAAAAGTGATGAACCAATGGTGTTCAAGACTATCTTGTCTGTGTGTTGAAAAATTAATGAAAAATTGCATGTTAAAAAACTGCTAAATATATTAATCTAAGTTTAAAAGTCAAATATTTTGAGAAAATGCTAGATTTGTCTAAATAATCTCAGTATATTAATCTAATTCTAATTCTAAAACAAATACTGAGAGTGATACCAAATAATTCTAATTCTAAAACAGGTTAAATATATTAATCTAATTCTAAAACAAAAACTGAGAATGATAACAAATAGTTTAATACTATTGTTTAATTCGTATGTATACATGCAAGAAAAGAGTTGCTAATCAATTTCAACTAAATGTTAGCTTTTATATGAAACGCTGTAAAAAATTGATCAAAAGAAGTGAATATGTTTGTGTGACATGTTAAGAAAATATTAGTAGAGTATATATTAAATAACGTTTGAATATAATAGAAAAATTAATAGTAAATAGATTAGTTTTTAACTAAGTCAAATACCTAGGTACAGCTTGACCTTTAAACTTGTGAAAACCACAATGATCGGCAGAGACAATGATTCAATGGATAAAGAAGCAATACTTCGAGCAACATCTGCCCACAGCGTAACTGTCAGCTCTTCTCCTCTGTGGGAAAAGCAAATTCCAAACAAATTTTTAATAGGTAAGTAATATACAATGCAAGCCTGAATATGCACCAGTAGTTTCGGGAAACCTTGGTCTGCATACTCTGCAAACTCGAACCTTGATTTTTCTGCATTTATGTACGGGACCAACTGATTGATAGGAGTAAGAGCTCTGTTTTCCATCAACTGGAGTCAAATTAAACAAAAATGTTAGAAATTTAGAAATGATATGCAAGTCCTGAATCAATTTATAAAAAAAAATAAGTAAATAAAAACTCTAAATGAGGTCAACCCTATCCTTCTCTTATACTCTTCTATCTTCCCTCTGTTTTCCTCCCCCAATTCTGAATCATTCTTCCACCCTTGGTATCTCGATTTTATCTCACCTTAACATTTTATATCCAACCCGCAACCCAGCTCTCTTCAAATTGTATTTAAAACAATGAATTGCTTGCATACGAATGGTGCAAAAAGGCAGAATGCAATCCAATTGAAAATCGGTCCAATAAAAAATTCAAACAAAAAAAACTCCTCATTTCTCTCATCAAACCAAAATTCGCAAATCCAACAGAATTCCTGGTCACAACACATAACATAAACTGATAAAACATTTTACTCAAATAACGATTTAATTTTTAAAATTTAAAATAAAAGAGAACTAAATGCACATATTTGGAAGAAAAAAAATGGAATGATTCCATATGTAAATCTCACCCCAACAGTTTTAAAACGCAATCATCCCAGTGCAAACAGAAGGTGGAAAATGTTGTCCCAGCACAAACACAACCTGCAAAATAAACAAACCAACACACACAAAAAACCAAATGAATAACGATAAAAATCAGAAACCCTACCACACAAAATCATAAGAACAACATTAAAATTACCAATAAAAGTTAGCAAAAAACACACGATCTGATAATAAACGTCTTAACGCCAATGATGGCCTCAAACCCAAACAAAATCCAACAACAACAACAGAACAACAAAGCCTTTTCCCACTAAGTGGGGTCGGCTATATGAATCCTAGAACGCCATTGCGCTCGGTTTTGTATCATGTCCTCCGTTAGATCCAAGTACTCTAAGTCTTTTCTTAGAGTCTCTTCCAAAGTTTTCCTAGATCTTCCTCTACCCCTTCGGCCCTGAACCTCTGTCCCGTAGTCACATCGGAGTGTCATTCGGCCTTCTTTGCACATGTCCAAATCACCGGAGCCGATTTTCTCTCATCTTTCCTACAATTTCGGCTACTCCTACTTTACCTCGGATATCCTCATTCCCAATCTTATCCTTTCTCGTGTGCCCACACATCCCACGAAGCATCCTCATCTCCGCTACACCCATTTTGTGTACGTGTTGATGCTTCACCGCCTAACATTCTATGCCATACAACATCGTTGGCCTTATTGCCGTCCTATAAAATTTTCCCTTGAGCTTTAGTGGCCTACGACAGTCACACAACACGCCGGATGCATTCTTACACTTCATCCATCCAGCTCGTATTCTATGGTTGAGATCTCCATCTAATTCTCCGTTCTCTTGCAAGATAAGATCCTAGGTAGCGAAAACGGTCGCTTTTTGTGATCTTCGCTAGATTGCTCCGGTCATTAGTGTGGATAGGTATATAAATGGATAGAGATAGGAAAGCAAACACAAGATGTACGTGGTTCACCCAGATTGGCTACGTCCACGGAATAGAAGAGTTCTCATTAATTGTGAAGGGTTTACACAAGTACATAGGTTCAAGCTCTCCTTTAGTGAGTACAAGTGAATGATTTAGTACAAATGACATTAGGAAATATTGTGGGAGAATGATCTCGTAATCACGAAACTTCTAAGTATCGGAGTGTGGTGTCGTCTTGACTTGCCTTATCTGTCTCATAGGTAGATGTGGCATCTTTTCTGGAAGTACTCTTCCTCCATCCAGGGGTGGTATCTTTAACTGGTGGAGATGCACAAGGTAATGTATCAATTTCACTTGAAGCTTACTTGTAGTTTCAGGCTTGGTCAAGCGCGATACAAACCATGTAGTAGGAGTCCCCCAAGTCGCCGAGCTAGGGGTCTGCTGAAAGAGGTGACAGACAAGGTAAGCAATCAGAGCTCCGACTGATTGTTCACCTTCTCCCCATCTTGCAGCAGCATGAAGGATAAAGAGAAGAAAAATGAGAAGAGATGATATGAGATACTTTTGCTTTTGAAGAAGTAACTTTCCACAGGCTTATTCTTGAACTGAGCTGGAGGGTTTTCTGGTTTCCTCCAGAGTATAAGGTCGACTGAAGAATTTGAGGGTCAAAACAAGTCCATCAAATCTAGAGTACTTTCCACCCTGCTGATATGGGATACTTTTGCTTTTGACAGAGTAATGGATGTATCGGCACGTGTGCTGTTACGCTTGTCTCCACATGCTTCCTTGTATCTTTCGCACTTGCCCTATCTGTTCCTCAAGCAGATGCGGAATCTTCCCTGGAAACATAAGATGTTGAAGATGAGTACTCGAGAGCAATGCCAGGTAAGTAATCAGGTAAGGGGTTCCAGGCAGTCAGTTCCTAGCTGGAAGCTTGATTCCAAGTGCTGACTGATTGCTCTCTTTCTCCTTGTCTTGCAGGTAAAAACAAGGCCAAAGGAAAAGACAGGGAAAAAGCATGATATGGGATACTCTTGCTTTTAACCCTGATGATATGAGATATTCTTGCTCTAGTATAGCTTGTTTGCAGAGGTATTATCGGGGGGAAAGAAAGCTGAATATTTCGAAAGGCTTCGTTGGGAGTGCCCTCTCAGATATGATGAAGGGTTGAGCATTTTTGCAGGTCTGCCTGTCTGTTGGGGATGGAGGTCAACATATATAGGAGTCTCCCTAACAAGTAGTAATGTTATTCCTTTACCCTGCTTGGTCATAGCACGGTAGTGGGAGCTGCCAGTTTCACATGTTTTAACTCTGTCAGAGCACTTTGAAAAAGTGGTATGTGGTATCTGGCTCTCGAGATTCGGAGAACGATGCCTCTTCGATTTTTGAGAAAGCAATCATGCTGGGGGTCTGGCTTTCGAGATTCGGAGAGCAGTGTCTCTTCGATTTTTGAGAAAGTAATCATGTTGGGAGTCTGGCTCTCGAGATTCGGATAACGATGCCACTTCGATTTTTGAGAAAGCAATCATGCTGGGGGTCTGGCTCTCGAGATTCGGAGAGCAGTGTCTCTTCGATTTTTGAGAAAGTAATCATGTTGGGAGTCTGGCTCTCGAGATTCGGAGGGCGGTGCCTCTTCGATTTTGGAGCAAGCAATCTTGTTGGGACTGTTGTCTCGAATGTGAGTAAAGGTTGGGCATGTTTGCTAGTCTACCTTGCCACGAAGCAAAGAGGTTGACACACAGGGACTTTCCAATTATCCAGCAATGGTACTGTTCCTTTACCCTCTCTTCGATTTTGAGAAAGTAGTCATGTTGGGAGTCTGGCTCTCGAGATTCGGAGGACGGTGCCTCTTCGATTTTGGAGCAAGCAATCTTGTTGGGAGTGTTTTCTCGAATGTGAGTAAAGGTTGGGCATGTTTGCTAGTCTACCTTGCCACGAAGCACAGAGGTTGACACACAGGGACTTTCCAATTATCCAGCAGTGGTACTGTTCCTTTACCCTTGTGGGTAATAATATGGTAGCTAGACCTTCAAAATTTATGTGTCTAAACTTTGTTAGTGCTGTTTCTTTGCTATTCTTTTACCCTTCTTGGTCAGAGCGATGTAGTGGGAGCTGCAAGCTTCACGTGCTCAACTTTGGCAGAGAACTTTGGCAAAGTTATCTGTGGTACCCATGAGCTATTGTTGCGTGTGGGAAGTGGGTGATTGAACAGTAAGATTCATGTGCTTTCTACTTCACCAGAAGTCTTCGACAGAATGCCCATAATTTCTGCAAAGCTGAGTGTGCGTGTGACAGGTGCTGACAAGGCTAGAAAAGTAGGTGCCTCTTCGATTTCTGAGATCGGCCCTCGTGGTCTCTGAGCAGCCCAGCTTTTGAGAAAGCGAGCGCCTCTTCGATTGATTCGGAGAACGATGCCTCATCGATTTTTGAGAAAGCAATCATGCTGGGGGTCTGGCTCTCGAAGATTCGGGGAGCAGTGTCTCTTCGATTTTTTGAGAAAGTAATCATGTTTGGAGTCTGGCTCTCGAGATTCGGAGGGCGGTGCCTCTTCGATTTTGGAGCAAGCAATCTTGTTGGGAGTGTTTTCTCGAATGTGAGTAAAGGTTGGGCATGTTTGCTAGTCTACCTTGCCACGAAGCACAGAGGTTGACACACAGGGACTTTCCAATTATCCAGCAATGGTACTGTTCCTTTACCCTCTCTTCGATTTTTAAGAAAGTAGTCATGTTGGGAGTCTGGCTCTCGAGATTCGGAGGACGGTGCCTCTTCGATTTTGGAGCAAGCAATCTTATTGGGAGTGTTTTCTCGAATGTGAGTAAAGGTTGGGCATGTTTGCTAGTCTACCTTGCCACGAAGCACAGAGGTTGACAAACAGGGACTTTCCAATTATCCAGCAGTGGTACTGTTCCTTTACCCTGTGTGTGGTAATAATATGGTAGCTAGACCTTCAAAATTTATGGGTCTAAACTTTGTTAGTGCTGTGTTTCTTTGCTATTCTTTTACCCTTCTTGGTCAGAGCGATGTAGTGGGAGCTGCAAGCTTCACGTGCTCAACTTTGGCAGAGAACTTTGGCAAAGTTATCTGTGGTACCCATGAGCTATTGTTGCGTGTGGGAAGTGGGTGATTGAACAGTAAGATTCATGTGTTTTTTCTACTTCCCCAGAAGTCTTCGACAGAATGCCCATAATTTCCGCAAAGCTGAGTGTGCGCGTGTGACAGGTGCTGACAAGGCTGGAAAAGTAGGTGCCTCTTCGATTTCTGAGATCGGCCCTCGTGGTCTCTAGGGAGCCCAGCTTTTGAGAAAGCGAGCGCCTCTTCGATTTCTGAGATCAGCCTTCGAGGTCTTTGAGCAGCCCAACTTTTGAGAAAGCAAACGCCTCTTCGATTTCTGAGATCAACCCTCGTGATCTCTAAGCAGCCCAGCTTTTGAGAAAGCAAACGCCTCTTCGATTTCTGAGCAGGCGCCTCTTCGATTTCTGAAGCTCCGTCGAGTGCAGATTTTTATAGGGGCTGGCATTAAGTTCCAAAGCACACTTGAATCTCCACCAGTAGAAGCTTCATTCTTGCACTTCTAAGATCTTGATTTGTCCGACCTCTTCTCTCTTCAACACATTTGAAAATGTCTGGCCCCTCCGACCGTCGTTTTGACTTGAACCTTGTTGAAGAGGCAGCCCCGCCTTCTCCAGACAACATATGGCGCCCATCCTTCGTCTCCCCTACTGGTCCTCTTACCGTTGGGGATTCCGTGATGAAGAATGATATGACCGCTGCGGTGGTGGCCAGGAACCTTCTCACTCCCAAAGATAACAGACTACTTTCCAAACGGTCTGATGAGTTAGCTGTTAAGGATTCGCTGGCTCTCAGTGTTCAGTGTGCAGGTTCTGTGTCTAATATGGCCCAACGCCTATTTGCTCGAACCCGCCAAGTTGAATCATTGGCGGCTGAAGTGATGAGTCTCAAACAGGAGATTAGAGGGCTCAAGCATGAGAATAAACAGTTGCACCGGCTCGCACATGACTATGCTACAAACATGAAGAGGAAGCTTGACCAGATGAAGGAAACTGATGGTCAGGTTTTACTTGATCATCAGAGATTTGTGGGTTTGTTCCAAAGGCATTTATTGCCTTCGTCTTCTGGGGCTGTACCGCGTAATGAAGCTCCAAATGATCAACCTCTGATGCCTCCTCCTTCTAGGGTTCTGTCCAGTACTGAGGCTCCAAATGATCCCCCTCCGGTGCCTTCTCTTTCTGGGGCTCTACCGACTGCTGAGACTTCTCCTAAGCAACCTTTGTGAAGGCTCCCTCTTGTGTGTTTATTTTGACTCATGTATATGTACATATTTGTAGCTTATCGGGGATATCAATAAATAAGCTTTCCTTCATTTCAACGTATTGTGTTAAATACACCAAAGCCTTCTTCGCTAAGTTCTTTGAATTTTCTTTTGTTGAAGCTTGTATGTTGAAGCTTTCTGAGTGGAGCATGTAGGTTGGGGTAGTGTTCCCTTAATTTTCCGAGTGAGGAAAACTTCTCGGTTGGAGACTTGGAAAATCCAAGTCACTGAGTGGGATCGGCTATATGAATCTTAGAACGCCATTGTGCTCGATCCTGTGTCATGTCCTTCGTTAGATCCAAGTACTCTAAGTCTTTTCTTAGAGTCTCTTTCCAAAGTTTTCCTAGGTCTTCCTCTACCCCTTCGGCCCTGAACCTCTGTCCCATAGTCGCATCTTCTAATCGGAGCGTCAGTAGGCCTTCTTTGCACATGTCCAAACCACCGTAACCGATTTTCTCTCATCTTTCCTTCAATTTCGGCTACTCCTACTTTACCCCGGATATCCTCATTCCTAATCTTATCCTTTCTCGTGTGCCCACACATCCAACGAAGCATCCTCATCTCCGCTACACCCATTTTGTGTACGTGTTGATGTTTCACCGCCCAACATTCTGTGCCATACAGCATCGCCGGCCTTATTGCCGTCCTATAAAATTTTCCCTTGAGCTTCAGTGGCATACGGCGGTCACACAACACGCCGGATGCACTCTTCCACTTCATCCATCCAGCTTGTATTCTATGGTTGAGATCTCCATCTAATTCTCCGTTCTTTTGCAAGATAGATCCTAGGTAACGAAAACGGTCGCTCTTTGGTATTTCTTGATCTCCGATCCTCACCCCTAACTCGTTTTGGCCTCCATTTGCACTGAACTTGCACTCCATATATTCTGTCTTTGATCGGCTTAGGCGAAGACCTTTAGATTCCAACACTTCTCTCCAAAGGTTAAGCTTTGCATTTACCCCTTCCTGAGTTTCATCTATCAACACTATATCGTCTGCGAAAAGCATACACCAAGGAATATCATCTTGAATATGTCCTGTTAACTCATCCATTACCAACGCAAAAAGGTAAGGACTTAAGGATGAGCCTTGATGTAATCCTACAGTTATGGGAAAGCTTTCGGTTTGTCCTTCATGAGTTCTTACGGCAGTCTTTGCTCCTTCATACATATCCTTTATAGCTTGGATATATGCTACTCGTACTCCTTTCTTCTCTAAAATCCTCCAAAGAATGTCTCTTGGGACCCTATCATACGCTTTTTCCAAATCTATAAAGACCATGTGTAAATCCTTTTTCCCATCTCTATATCTTTCCATCAATCTTCGTAAGAGATAGATTGCCTCCATGGTTGAGCGCCCTGGCATGAACCCGAATTGGTTGTCCGAAACCCGTGTCTCTTGCCTCATCTATGCTCAATGACTCTCTCCCAGAGCTTCATTGTATGACTCATTAGCTTAATACCCCTATAGTTCATGCAATTTTGTACGTCGCCCTTATTCTTGTAGATAGGCACCAAAGTGCTCGTTCGCCACTCATTTGGCATCTTCTTCGTTTTCAAAATCCTATTGAAAAGGTCAGTGAGCCATGTTATACCTGTCTCTCCCAAAAGTTTCCACACTTCGATTGGTATATCGTCTGGGCCTATTGCTTTTTTTATGCTTCATCTTCTTCAAAGCTACAACCACTTCTTCCTTCCGGATTCGACGATAAAAAGAGTAGTTTCTACACTCTTCTGAGTTACTCAACTCCCCTAAAGAAGCACTCATTTCATGTCCTTCATTGAAAAGATTATGAAAATAACCTCTCCATCTGTCTTTAACCGCGTTCTCTGTAGCAAGAACCTTTCCATCCTCATCCTTGATGCACCTCACTTGGTTTAGGTCCCTTGTCTTCTTTTCCCTTGCTCTAGATAGTTTATAGATATCCAACTCTCCTTCTTTGGTATCTAGTCGTTTATACATATCGTCGTAAGCCGCTAACTTAGCTTCTCTGACAGCTTTCTTCGCCTCTTGCTTCGCTTTTCTATACCTTTCACCATTTTCATCGGTCCTCTCCTTGTATAAGGCTTTACAACATTCCTTCTTAGCCTTCACCTTTGTTTGTACCTCCTCATTCCACCACCAAGATTCCTTTTGGTGTGGGGCAAAGCCCTTGGACTCTCCTAATACCTCTTTTGCTACTTTTCGGATACAACTAGCCATGGAATCCCACATTTGGCTAGCTTCCCCCTCTCTATCCCACACACATTGGGTGATTACCTTCTCTTTGAAAATGGCTTGTTTTTCTTCTTTTAGATTCCACCATCTAGTCCTTGGGCACTTCCAAGTCTTGTTCTTTTGTCTTACTCTTTTGATATGTACATCCATCACCAACAAGCGATGTTGATTAGCCACGCTCTCTCCTGGTATAACTTTGCAATCCTTACAAGTTATACGATCCCCTTTCCTCATTAGAAGAAAATCTATTTGTGTTTTTGACGACCCACTCTTGTAGGTGATCACATGTTCTTCTCTCTTCTTAAAGAAGGTGTTGGCTAAGAAGAGATCATATGCCATTGCAAAATCCAAGATAGCTTCCCCATCCTCGTTTCTCTCCCCAAAACCATGGCCACCATGAAAACCTCCATAGTTGCCTGTCTCCCTGCCCACGTGTCCATTTAAATCTCCTCCTATAAATAACTTCTCCGTCTGAGCAATTCCTTGCACCAAGTCTCCAAGATCTTCCCAAAATTTCTCCTTCGAACTCGTATCCAACCCTACTTGAGGTGCGTACGCACTAATCACATTGATAAGTTCTTGTCCTATTACAATCTTGATTGCCATGATTCTATCTCCTACCCTCTTGACATCTACAACATCTTGTACCAAGGTCTTGTCCACGATGATGCCAACACCGTTTCTCGTTCTATTTGTGCCCGAATACCAAAGTTTAAACCCTGAGTTTTCTAGATCCTTTGCCTTACTACCAACCCACTTAGTTTCTTGTAGGCACATAATATTTATCCTTCTCCTCACCATAACTTCCACTACTTCCATAGATTTTCCCGTTAAGGTTCCTATATTCCACGTTCCTAAACGCATTTTGCTCTCTTGAACTCTACCCTTCTGTCCTAGCTTCTTCACCCTCCCCCGTCTAATAGGATCAAAGTACTTCTTTTGTGTGTCCCGGGTAAAGTTGATAGGAGCATATGCTCTCAAACAACTTTGAGTGGAGTCGTTCGAAAAGAAGTTTCTATGGCCCCCTTGCTCATTTAACACTGCATCCGGGTGCCGATGGAGATACAGCGACCCTTGCTCACTTATCACTGTGCTCGGGCCATACAGCGCGCCACTTACGGGTGACGTCCTAGCTTTAGCGCGATTTTGTTCTGGATTCATTTTCATAAGGATTCGACATGATCATGGAGTGCCGGCTGTCGACTACCTGACGCCCTCCCCCTCCTCCTTTATCCGGGCTTGGGACCGGCCATGTAAGACATAGGCGGAGTTAAACCCAAACAAAATCCAAATCAGTTAAAAAAAAATAGTGAAAATGAACTGAACCCATTCCTCTATCATATTCTTTTCATCTGTTTTCCTACCCCTAATCCCAAATCTCTCTTCCATGCTTTCTCTGCCGTTTTCCCCTCACCCTCGATCCCATTTTCTTCCAAGTTAACAGCCTTTACAAATTTTTTAGAACCATAGAAAGACAAACATGGCCGATTCAAATAATAAACACACACAGTTAACCTACCAATTCATGCCCAATTTGTTAAAAATATGAATAAAAAATAATCACAACACATACTTCAATGGGTCCTCTCATTCCTTCCCAAAAATTATAAACAAATTTTAACCAACATTAAATTTTCCCAAATTGAAATCACTTTTCTAATCTCTCCTGAAAAAACTATAAAACACATTTTAATTCTTCAAGAATGGGTGCTCAAACCGGGAAAAAAACCAAAAAGGAGAAAAAACATACCAAAAAATAACAGGACCACCACAGCTGTTCGTAAATCTGTGATCGACCAACCAAGCAACAAAAACGCAAATACCCTCTTAGCCAGGAAAATCCTAACAGAGGACCACAACTGATCCAAAACAAAATTATTAGAGCTTCATCCAAATTAACAAAAATACAGAACAAAAATTGAAAGACAGCAGTTATAAAACATACCTCGGTTGTATTAAATTGATTTGCCAAAGATCTAAAGACTGCCGGCGCTTAACGACCGAAAGGCAGAGAAAACAAGAATCACAAAATGTTTGACCGCCGATCGCAAGTCTACAAATCTCGGATAATGGGGTCAGAGAAAACACCCACAACCATAGGTCTAAAAACCCTCCTCAAGTCAGATCGCAGAAATAAGATCGCTTAAAAGACGAAAATCAAGAGCAACTGAATGATGCAGAAATGCTTAATAACAAGATAGTTAAGTGTCTGTTTTTCATTCTATTTGCAGAATCCCAAGACCACAGCCCATAAACTATCACCACGATTTCAACTTGTCGAAGAGTGGGGACGCTTAGGGGGGCGGCCTGAGCCACCACCCTTATCATTTGGTAAAAAAGAGAGAAAACAATTGGTACGCAATATTATAAACTACCATTTTTTTATTCCACTTTCATAGCATAATCTCAGCAATCATGTCTACATTTTTATAGCTGTTAACTCAAATCCAACTTTTCAATTATTTCAAAATGCATCAGTAAATAAGGAGTCCTATCAGCAAAATAAAATTTCTCGCACACCTGCAATTTTCCTCCACTTCTCTAAGCTCAGACTCCAGCAGATGAACCAACTGTTCTTTTTCTTTGGATATCCAAGCTCACCTGTTGTCACGCCATTGCCTCGTTGTCCCGTGTAGGATAAAACAGATTGCTGCAGCCCCTTGTATCAGGCAATGAACACAATATTTAAGAACAGCAAACAATTGGAGAGGAGCAGGCAGGGATGAGAGAAAGAGAGAGAGCAGCAGAAGCAGAGGGTTAAACCGAAAAGAAAATTACCCATATGCACAACCCGAAGAACTCACCAAGAAACCCTTGCTCCTCTCCGCAAGAAATTCCTTCAAATCAAAACGAAAAACTGAACATGGGTACCTGATATTAACACCCACTGACAGCATGGTAGTAATTATAACGCACCACAAAGTAGCCCACAATAATCCTATTGATTTTCCTTATTAACACTAAAATTTTGTCGATTGTAGCATATGAAAATAAGGGTCTTTTCCGCAGAAAATTGTTTTATCCAAACACTTAAAATGTCACAAAAACAGGATGGTTGTCTCCACTGACCAGCCACCGAACAATAATTATTAGACTAACTTACACTTATCCAAATGCAACGAAATTTTATACACATAAACTAGACACACCAAGCTATGCTCACACAAATGTTTGGGATTTTTGAAGTTGATTAGCTATTTAAATTAAATCGGACAAAACAGGACCTCAACCAGTTTTAAATAATACCAATAGATTTTAATTCACAAGTTAAGAAAACGAATTAGGGGAAATGCTATCCACCACCAAATAATCATGCAAACATGTTATGTTTCATTCAAATTCCTTTTATTTCCGGATGAAGATGCTCAAGTTGGCTCAATGTTAGAACACAACCTATTACTTTTTCTTACGTAGTATGTTAAGAGAATAGCGTTTTCAACTTAACGTAGTCCCTAGCATGTAATCTAGAATGTCGTGTTCATAGATTTAACAAGTAGAAATCATTAAGAACGAAAAGAGTTTGAGTCATCACAAGGCATGATAAGTACTGGCATTGTCTTACTTATCCTAGAAATCGGTTCACATGTTAACCACAATTAACAAGTGCTACTCTAGAACATATGTAGGTCCTCATTCAACAAGGGCAGGTAAACATATATTCATAGCATTAAAATCCTAGATATGCTCACTATGTATGCATCCATAGAAACACATAAAGAATTTATCAATCACATAAGTAGTGAAACAATTTTCATCCTTTCATAAAAGTCATTCAAACAAAATATCACAACAAACTTACAATCATATTCGGGGCTTCAAAACAGCCCCTAACTACTTAAAATTTAGTTACACATAATTCACAAATTAAACCAAAAGTAAAACATGGGTTTGAGAAGATAAAACCAAGAAAAATAGAGTGAAGCTTTGCTCTCTGCCGTGCCTCTTGCGTCTGCTGTCAGTCTGTGATTTTGTTCCCTCTGCTTCTGTGCTTCTGCTCCCGCACAATCTCTCCTATCTCTCTGCGCCCTCTGCGCACTGGCTTTCACGTCAGTTTCTCTTCTTTTTTCTGCTTCTCTGTCTTCTCTTTTATTCTTCAGTTCTCCTTTCTGTCCGTGCCTGCACCCTGCTTCTCTCTTTAATTCTTCCACTCAGTCCGTGTCCTCCCACTTCTTTCTTATTCTTCTATTTTTCTTTGCTTTTATCCCGCACTCCTCACTCCCTCTCCTGCTTTTTGTTCCACTTCCATCCCATGCGCACTCCACTTTCTTCCCACTTCTCTATCTGCCGTTCTACCTCTTTCTTCATTCTTTTATTCTGTCAGTGTCTTCCTTTCCGTCCCATTTATTTCTTTTCTTTTATTTTCTTTTCAGCCCATTTTCTTTGAAATTGATCCTAAAATAAAATTAACTGTACATTAACACAAGGTAAGGTAAAATGCCACAACTTTAACACAAAAACATCACAAAGACTTTAGAAATGGATGGTATAAATGCATGAAATATATGAGTGATCAAATACCCCCAAACTTACATTTTTGCTAGTCCTCTAGCAAAACAAAACCACTCAACTAAGACTAGATTCAACAACTTAGTAGCCAACTTCTCAATTTCGATTTCAGAGATAAGTGCTAGTCATGAGATACACTGCCAAGAAGTAAGCAAGAGCTCAAAACATCATCCAATAGTTAACCAAATTTCCTTCAAACAAAACGTTGAAATGCCATGTGTGAGCTAGCTATGTCAATGCAATTCCAAGCTCCTTTAAATCATCATATGCAAACATGTGAGTTTCTCACAAGACATACGCTCATTCACTCATAATTTTTTGTTAATGTGTTTCACTCAAGTAATCTCATTGTACATGCCGCCATGTGCTTGCTTGTCCACCTAACTCGCTTATCAATATTTAAGTAATACCTTGGATCAATAGGACTTTATTACGGTTGTAATGGGGCTAAAGGTGATAGGCTAATGAAAGAAAGGATATGGAAATCAAAAATTTTGAGAAAGTACACTTTGGTAGTTTTCCAACACCTCAATATCACACCACCTCAAATTGAAAGCAAAATAATAAAACCTCGAGCACCTGTTACTCCCCAAATTTAACTTTAAAAGGAAATTTATACTCTACCGACACATTTTCAACAAATCAACACTCTCCAATTTTCATTTTTTTCGTTTTTTTTCGTTTTTTTTTTCTTTTGAAATAATTTTCAAAATCTACATCACCCATCAAATTCACATTTCATTGTATACACATACTCCATCCATCTTTCTATATAAATGAAACCCCCAAAAGCACAACCCATGTAATACTTTCTCAAAACAATAAGGAATCGATTTTTGTGTATGGGCTCAACTCCAATATTGGAGCAAGGTAAAGAGATGTGGTTAACAAAGAAATGGCTTAGTTAAAGGCTCAAAGGGCTACTAAGGATAAACATAGCATATAAGGTAGGCATGAAAGGCTCAAACGATCCAAAGATGGCCTATATCACTTCCAAGTTATTACATGAATTGATTAATGAATCGAGTAGTATAAAGCAAGTTCTAGAGATACATGTACAGTGAGATCATACGCACAAGAAGGAATGAGATTGATGCATAATGGTTCAATCATGTATAGGCTAAAAAACTCACAAGGTTTACATAATCTCACATGATTCACATATGAAACGCTAAATCATGCTCAAGTTTCACATTGACAAGACTAGGCACATTTCTTTTTTCAAGTTGATTTCTGGAAATCACAGTTAACACAAAGACAACGAAAAGAACTTAGACTTTCTTGAAAGTAAGAAGGAAATTAAAATCAAATCTCATCATTGAATTGAGAAGTAGCTACAAACAACAATAAAAATGCAAAATTTTTTTTTTTTTTTAATAGAGAAATAAACTAACGAAATATATTTCCAAATACCCCCAAACTTAATTATAGCATTGTCCCCAATGATAATGAAAGGAATTTTTGAACAATAAGACATGAAAATGGAAGGAAAGAAATATAAAATGAAATAAAGACACATAAAGAAAAGGAAAGAACACACCAATTTGTGTAGGCGAATCTCAAACTGGTTTGGAATCCTGAGCGAGGAATATCAGAGTTCCTGGGTTGTTTGATTGTGCAGTCTGCATTCTTCTCTGCTTGTTTCTTCTGCTCGGTAGGCAGGCACGAGGTAGAGGTGTTAGTCTGTTTCTTTGTTCAATCTTTCCAAGTGCCCACATCTTGCTTGCTTTCTCCCTTGTCCTTAGTTGAGGATGAATCAGCACGTTGTATCCACATGCTTCGAGGTATCATTATCACTTCCCCTATGTGGTAGACGAAGAGGAAACATAAGAAGGATGAGTACTCGAGAGCAAGGTTAGGTAAGCAATCAGGAATGGGTTCCAGGCAGTCGGTCCCCGCTCGGAAGATTGATACCAAGTGCTGGCGAGACAAAGGACAGGGAGAAAGCATGATATGAGATACTCTTGCTCTCAACCGTTATGATATGAAATACTTTTGCTCTGGGTGGGTTGTTTGCAGGGGTATCCCAAGGGATGAGAAACACAGAGTGACTCGGGAGGCTTCTTCGGGAATACATTCTCAGAGAGGAAGAAAGGTTGAGTGAGGCTGAAAGTTGAGTGAGGTTGCCTTTAACATTTGTAGAATTTTTCTTAATGGCTGGGAAGGCATTGTTCTAGTACTCGTGTCAGCAAGCCTGGGGTAATTTAACAGTAAACTTCACGTGCATTCCGTTTCTCCAGAAATCTTCGACAGATTGCGCGTGATTTACGCAACGCAGATGTGCAATTGACAGATGCTGACACGTCTGATAAAGCAAAGGCTTCTTTAATATCCGGAATTGGCGCTTCGAGTTCTGAGCTTCGTTGAGTGCAGAGGTTGCATGTGACAAGTGCGAACAAATTTAGAAACTGAAGATTGGCCTGTGATTTCAAGCCCAGCTTTTGAGAAAGCGAGTGCCGACGAGGCTGAGAGAGACAGGCGGTTGGACTCGGCGCTTCGACAAACTGCCCGTGATTTCCTCAAAGCTGACGAGGCTGAGAAAGACAGATGGTTGGAATCGGCGCTTCGACAAACTGCCCGTGATTTCCTCAAAGTTTTCTCTGCATGTGACAAGTGCTGACGGGGCTGAGAGAGACAGGCGCGTCTTCACTACCTGAGATCAGCCTGTGATTCCTGAGTAGGCCTAGCTTTGGAGAAAGCAGGCGCTTCATCGATCTCTGAACTCGCCTATTCGATCCCTGAAATCTCATTGTGTGCTATTTTTTATAGAGGTTCGCAGGATGTTCAAAGCACACATGAATTTCTGCCTGTGAATACTCCCTTCTTGCATTTCTACTATCTTGACTTGTCTGACCTCTTCTTTCTTTAACACCTATGAAAATGTCTAGCCCATCCGACCGTCGTTTTGACCTGAATATCGAAGAAGATATTGACCTCTCGTCTCCAGGTAACATTTGGCAGCCATCTTTCATATCCTCCAACGGTCCTCTTACAGTTGGGGACACTGTGATGAGAAATGATGCAACAGCTGCAGTGGTTGCTAGAAATCTTCATACTCCAAGAGACAGTAGGATGCTATCTAAGCGGTCTGACGAGCAGGCTGTTCAGGATTCTTTGGCTTTCAGCGTCCAAAGTGCAGGCTCAGTATCAAACATGGGCCAACGCCTTCTTGCTCGAACTCGTCAAGTGGAGTCGTTGATGGCTGAAGTGGCTAGCCTTTGGCAAGAGGTCAGAGCGCTGAGGCATGAAGATAAAGAGTTGCACATGCTCGCAACTAACTACTCAACAAGCATAAAGAGGAAGTTGGACCAGCTGCAAGAGGCTGAAGTTCGGGCTCGGAGTGATCATCAAAGGTTTATGGCTTTACTCCTGAGGCA